TATAATCAATTATATGACTTTCTCAAAGGAATGATTGCATATTCGGTAGGTATTTCGGTACACTGCTCATTCGGGCTTTTGGACTGAGTCATTGGTGGGAATGGCTTTCTTGCTTCGCAGCTCTAGCGACCGGTTGTATAATTCTCGACGAGAAAGCATTTTGCTTGAGATTTTCAGAGCAATGATTTTGACATAGTTGTTCTCAATGTTTATAGATATTCGGTCATTTGTGGCTATGTGTTTGCTCATTTTGCAGGTACAACTGCTAATAGGGCTGTCCATTTTGTGGCAAAACAAGTTCTTTCATCGGCAGTTCGACTATTTACCGACTACTCACTACAAAGAAAACCTCCAACAGCAGGGGATTTATTCACTTTTGGCGACGGAAAAAACCGTCGCTAAGTATCCCGACCGCGGTTTTTGTAACCACTGCCTAACCGTCGCAAGAAGAACCGTTGCAAATGTATGTCAGCGGTCAGGACAACCCCTGGTGGATGTCCTTGCAGCGGTTTTTGCTACGGTACAAACCGTCGCTATTGGTGTTTTTTGTTACTATTGTTATGAATTTTTGCAGCGATAATTAAGCCTTTTGCGACAGTTTTTAAAACCCCTGCTATATCCGCAACACAGCCAAACCCCTGGAAAGCTAGATTCGACGAAAACTTTAATGAAAACTTTTAACGACGGGAACGAATTACGTCACTAAAACATTCAAAAGAATACCTGCTGGTATTTTTCAATTTTCTCATAAATATCTATTTGGGCCCTTAAAAGTCGACATTGTCCATTCTTAATGCCACAAATAGGCAACTTCCCGTACAGTATACATTACACATAGTCATACCATGAATTCTCAAAAGGAAATCGACAAATATAAACTCAACCAACAGTACACAGATTAAGTTTCAGCAAGATCCATAACATCAAACTTGGCTTTCTTACAAATCGCCCATATCATATAATGCACTGCTTTCTTTTGAAACTCATATTAGCCTGTCATAAATCCAACCAAACAATATCATATATCAGCAGTCCCTCAATTCTAAGGAAAACATTAGCACCAATCTAATATACAACCTTGAGTTCAATTAGTTAACATAGAAGTGAATCTCATTAACCAATCAGCCACGAATTTCATCAAGCTAACATCTGATTGTGCAAGAAAGAAAATTGGGAAAGGAATTGGATAAAAAATAGAACATAATTTGACGGAAATTAGAACTTACTCAAGTAAAACTAATGGGTACCATTTCGAACTAGCTTGTGTCCAACATGCTTTACCTTCCTTGTTTGTTCATTGAAGAAAACGCAACAATGGTTCCTGGAAGAGGGGTATCAGATCAGATAATTATATGATGGAAATTCAACAAGGTCAGAACAGAACAATGACTAGGAATGTACCAAGTATAGGTATATAATCTAGAAGATAGTTACAGATTCTACTACTTATGCAATATATTCCATATTAAGATCCAATTACATAATGAACAGTCTAAGAAACATATGGGCAAGAACCTTATCCCTCACCCATATGATGGCTTGCACATCAGCATGATTCACCGCAAACTTAACTGCATCTGGACTTGCATACAGAATTTGCTGCTATGATTACATAGAAGACCAAATGGAGCAATCGTGTTCATTGTGTAAGGTAACTAACATACCAAGAGTATCATATAAGGGATCCGAGATGTAGGAATATGTTGCACAAGCATGATCTACGATCAGGCATTCTGGCCTATTTACAAAATAAGTTCCAATACAAGCTCCCTGTTCCACATTGATGAGTCAATACCTAACGTTTTGCTGATAGAAAAACTTGAATTTAATTCTCACTCTACCAGAGCTAAAAGGAAACACACAAAGCAAAGCATAAGAACAGAGAGTATAACAGAGTCCAGCGTCCAGAATCCAGCTTAGAACTCACCTTATCCAAGCCATGATAACGAAGGCCAGAACCTATCACTTCCCTGACAGTAGTAGCTTCTCCAAATGTCATCCACGTGTAGCTATCATTTTAAGGAACAAATCATATCATGCCTCTCATCAGAATGATTTCAAATACACATTAGTCAAAGAAAAAAATGAAATTTCTATTAACAAGATAGACAAACTTATTACACAAAAGACCTACTCTCCAATTTTTCCATCCTGCCGAATTCGTGTTCCCAAGTACTTGTAATCTCAATAATTCTTGACAGCATCTCTGAAGCATTACACAAAAAGAAATAATCATTCATAGCTCAACAGTTTCAAATTCTCTAACTCGTAGCAACTAATCTTCTAATATTGTCATTCAGTGCCTAATATCGTCTCATACCTTAAGAAAGCTTCAAGCCAAAATAACTTATCCCTTAAAATTCTAGAAAAGAAATCTAATGGTAAATTGCAAGCATGGACAGCGTTGATTATTAACAAAATGCATAAACAAATGATGAATCACCAACCTTCTCTGAGAAGAAGAGAACAAAGTGCATAAACGAATGATCATTAACAAAAGCCAACTTCCTCGTGCATAAACCAAGTAGAAGCAGTAACTTCCATGTAACAATTACCACTGTATTTGCCACGCCCTAAAGTCGACAACTCATGTTTGTCCAACTGATATTTTCCATGTTGAATTCTGGAGACTTCAATTTCGATATTGGAATACTGCAAAAGGCCGAAGAAATGCTTTCAAGACTAGTTCAATAATTCCAAATACTGAATAGAAAACCCATTAAGAAAGCGTCTTGGCAGGTATGGTCAGCTCATATCATACTAATACTGCAACAAGACATGTCCTGGACAGCTCATATCATAAATTATCTGCTAAATGTGAGGTTCATATGACGATTGGGTTATCCACCGGACTAGAATGATGCCATTCTTAAGTGGGAGCAAAGGAAATGACGAAAAGCAAACAAGTTTCACAAGGAAAGAAAGCCACTTTAAGCTCAGTTTGGGTGGCAGAAGCTTCTGATCAAGTCACAAAAGAATACAAGACAAGCAAATTCATTACGGAATTGAGTGAGCCTTCAAGCCAAGTCCAATAGTCCACACACTCATATGAGAGTTGAAAATCGAGCTGAAATTTGACAATGCCATATGAGTGTCTATCAAACTATTTCGTTCTTCGCAGACCACTTGAAACTAAGCATGTAACTTAGAGAATTCCGATAGCATGATCTGCTCACAGTCATTAACGAGACTTTCATTGATGCCTTCTTTGACCAACCACTTTTTCAGCTTCTCAGTCGAGACAGACAACTATATGCACAACAACTATATTTAGAGTCTGAAACAAAACACACTAGTGTACTAGCATTTTCCTAGCATTTCCCTTTACTAGAAAATGAGGGCCCTCGTCTGACTTTTTCTATCAATAAACTGAAAAATTGAAATTAAATACACTTCTAAAGAGCCCCATTGCTAAAGAAAGTTGAAGCAAGTAAATGATGTGAGAAATCACTAGCGACCATGCCAATATTGAACAAGAAACCAATTAGGAAAGGAAGAGTGCATATGGAGGACAAGCATTCAAACATCGAATAGTACTGTAACCAGAAAACAATGCGAACAATGAAAGAAAAGCACAACCAGATGCAGGGGAAGGAAGTAAATTGATCACTGGTGCTCTTGTACCTCTGCTCGTTACCTTCCCCCAACCACTGCATGCCCACTCCATCTCCAAGCACCACTATGTAATAGATTTGAAAAAGAAAACGGGAAAGGAATATTGCTTAGGTATCACAATCCATATAAACCGTAAGAAGATTAAGCTTGAGGTTGAGAGTTCGTAAAATACCGATCTGGGTGTCAGTGAACCTCCCCTGAGTAGTTAAGCTCGCTCATAGTACGGACAGCTGAGAAAGCGAGGGTGGCGAGCGTTGGGCTATCGATAAGATAGCTGATGTACGATCAATTAGAACTGCAACGCTCGAACCATCAATCGAGACGAATAGAGGGAGAAATCAATTGAATAAAAGGTTAGAGGAAACATAGCTTGAATTGAGGCAATAATGAAAGCCCCATGATCGAAGGTGCCGCCGCTGACTATCATAGAGGCTAAAGAGAGATCGCTCAAGCCGGTGGAGAGATCGAAGGCGGCGAGGAAGAGTTGAGGCCATTGTTAGGGTTAGGGATTTGTCGGGAGAATAGAGCAGAAGAGGCTAGAATAGTTTTAATTTTTGTTTTTTCTTTCCTGAGAGACGAGATGCTTTTAACCAGTTTTTTAAAATTAAAAAAAACGCAGCGGTTTCTTTAACCGCTGCATAGGATTGCTGTTAAACAAAAAAATTATAATTGCGGCAAGGGTTCTAGGAACCCCTGCTACTAAAACCCTGCTATATGCACGTTCCCTTGTAGTGACTGTATGGTGTTATTTTTCGTTCTTTGACTCTGTATTGGCTAGGAATTTACCTGGCTATTGTCTATGTTAAAAAAAAAACCGAGACTCTGATACCTGAAGAAAGACATAATAAGAAAGAAAAAGGAAAACCAACAAAACCCCATATGGGAAACCTCCAATCCAAACGCTGGGGAAAGTGGCCTCTCTCTCATCAGATCCTACAAAACCGGCAATTGTTTGTTCCAAGATCAACAAAATGACGAGGAAATTATCTAAGAGAATGCAGGCATCGTGGTTGGACTTGTTCCTTCTCGTCCGTGGGACACAGCTACACTACAATACAAATCCAAATACTGTAGTCATCTGGTTTCCTATGGATCATTCGTATTTGTCGTGGCCAAAATGTGAAAAATGGTGTTGTTTAATTCTTAGGAAAAACTTGAGACTCATCTTCATTTTTCAAAAAAATTCCGAAGCTTATTTTAAGGTGAGACCCAAGAAGAAATTTGATGATTTCAGGATTTCATAAGTAGTCGAGAATAACAATTAGAGCCACGGAGTTTTGCTTTTAATCTATGTGAAAATTATAGTAGATCGTATGATTTAGAATGTATCCTCGCGATAATTTAGGAAGCCAATTGGAAAGGAATTATAATAAATCAAACACGAGTTAATCGGGAGTTACTGATCTAATTAAATCGTGAGCTAATTCACATTTTTTTAAGATCTTACAATCAAATTATATTACTACAACACGAATTATCTCATAATAATTTTTTCAGATCTTACACATAACTCATATATATATTTCTTCTAAATCAGAAAATTCCGATTATGTACTATATCTCTTTTTTATTCCCTCTCAAATACTCCTTATGTTGTAAAAAAAAAAAAAAGGAACAAACAAACAAAATTGGCAAATAGATAGATGACAATTGCGGTATACATCCATCACTTGAGCTGGACCCACTTAGCTTCCGTCGGCAGCATGTTATGAACCACCGTCAACATATAATACCCCGTCGGCGCCACCGCGCTGTTGGGCGGCGCCACGCACGTCACATCATACCTCCCTTCCCCAACTTTAACGGCGTCTTTGACCAACAACTTGACCAGCCTCTGGTTCATGGCCACGCCGTGAGTAGTAAACGCGGGCACGTACATGGTGACCTTGAAGTTCTTGAGGAAGATTTTCTTCTCGTTTAAGTTGACCTTGATGGTGAGTTCCTGGCCGTAGGTCATGGTCTTGGGGCAGCCGCCGTCGACGAGCTTGGGCTTCTTGTCGGCCCGGGTGGGGGAGAAGTAAGGAGGGGAGAATTTCTCGACGCGGAGCTCGGTGGGGTACATGGCGTCGTAGATGTATCCGTTGTTGGTGTTGCTGCCGGCGATGAGGACTTTGCCCTCCGGGAGGACGACGGCGGTGGAGTGGTACATACGAGGGATGGTGGTCGGGGCGAGTTCCTTGAAGAGGTGGTTCTTGTCGGGGGATTTGTAGTTGAAGAGGACCGGTGTCAGGTTGGGGTCGCGGGCGAATCCCCAACCGGATGCGCCTCTCTGTGCTCCGTTCACCATTAGGACTTCTCCGGTGGGGAGGATCACCTGTGTTGTTTGTTTGTGATTTGTTAGGGTTGTTGTCAATGTCAAACGTACATCACATGCATGAAAGCAACGTTAAAACTTAAAAGTGAAAAAAAGATGGGAGTAGGTACCATGTCGCCCATGATCCTAGGGGTAGGCATGAGCTCCCTCCTCCAAGAAGGTCTCTCCCTTGTGATCTTCAACCTACCACAATCCCGAAGCGCCTGATAGAACATGTTCTTAGAAGCCAACGTGTAGGAATCAATGTGGGAGGAACCGCCGCATACGAGAACCTCAGCATCGGGGATCTCCTTGGGGTCGCTGGTTTTCAACTCCAGCGGCAGAAGCACCGCCATCCCACTCGCCGGGTAATTACGGTGCCCGCCGTGGAGCACCGGGAACTCCCTCACCACCGTGTTCGTGTCCGGGTTCAGCAGCACCGACCTGTTAGTTTTGTTTTTTTTTTTTAATATCCAACGTATATAAGTCCACCGTATATGAAAATATGAAAATTTCACGGAGTAAAATGACACGAAAGAACTGACCTGTTATTGGCGAAGACGAAGATGTTTCTGTCGGGGGACAGGAAGACGAAAGGGTAGAGGTTGTTCTCGTCGGGGTCCTGAGTCTGCTGGAGGAAGTCGAAGAAGAAGGGCTTGGCGTTGGACGTTCCTTCCTTGGGGATGTACTCGAAGCTCTGGGCCGCGCGGCCGCCGATGACGATCATCCTGCCGTCGGCGGTTTGGGCCTGGGTTGAGTACCACCGTGGGGCAGAAAGTGCGGCGGGGTATTCCCTCCAGGCGCACTTCGGGCACCCGTCCAGGTAGCGGACGGTGTTGGCGCCGCCTTGGAACCCTCCCGTGGAGATTAGGTTTCCTTCTAGAGTTAGCCCGCCGGAGGAGCACCACGTGTCCGTGTGAAGCTGCCATGCACGTACGCCATGCAAACTTGTTAGTGGTTACAATTTCAGCAATTGGAAAATTGTTTGATGGGATATACAGAATTACATCGCCTAATTGTTTGATGGGATATATTTTTTCTGTTTAAAAAATATATCAAAATGGTTGTCATCGTATAGATTATGATACATCAAATCATCTTTATTTTCAAAATCGAAAACCAGATTGAATTGGTATAAGGGTATTTTATCAGTTGACATATCTGTATTTGATTGGCAGAAAATTAATTTATCATACGATAAATGAAATCCCTTATTGAAATAAATTTCCAATCCAGATCTCTTTTATCACTTAGCAGCCTCTTCGATTTGGCCTCATAATCATGAAATCCGAAGCAGTAGCCTCCATTTCTAGGCTCTCCCTTTCTAATCGGCTAACTCTAATTGAATTTAATCATATTTAAATTTTGAAATGAGGGCACACCTGATTTCAAATCCCAGCTCCGTCAATGTAAGAATGGAAACAAAAATGAGTGATTTAAGTATTGTAACCAAAAACATTTCCATTGCGACGTATCGGTTGGTTTTTTTTAGGTAGGTGTGTTAATTTCATTACCTCGAGTGGAATGAGCTGAGCGGTTTTGGTGTTGAGCAAAACGGAATGAGCAAAACAATCCTTCTCGCCGGTGGTCTCGTTGAGAATCCGGCACTGCCCGTTGGGCAGGAGGATCTTCGAGATCCGCCAGATGGTGGCATCGTACATCAGCACGTGGTCGCAATTGGGGAGCACGACGGAGTGCATTGCCGAGACCCCCGAATTGTCGGTGAACAGCTCGAACTTACCCAAGAAATCATCCACCGGCGGCGAAATCACCGGCGCCGCCGCAGGCTGGCCGACGAAGCTCTGTAGGTCGGCCTGGAACTGTGGGGTTCCGACGTCGTTGGGCAGGTTCTTGTCCTTGAAGTCGTCCGGGTTCCCGAACGGGTTTCCGAACTTCTCGTGCGGGCCCAATACCTTGTGCTGGTTCAGACTCCGGAAGTCGGTCACGTCGACTTTCGGAGCCTGAGCGGCCGCCGGCTGATCGTTGGCGGCCACCGGCTTGTCGTTGGCGGCCACCGGCTTGTCGTTGGCAACCGCCGGCTGGTCGTTGGCGGCCGCCGGCTTGTCGTTGGCGGCCACCGGCTTGTCGTTGGCATCCGCCGGCTGGTCGTGGGCAGCCGCCGTGCCGGCGGCGATCAGAAGGAGGAGGAGGAGGTATGGCAGTCTCATCTTTTTTCTTTTTATTGTTATTGTTAGATGTTTTTGTGGAGATTGGAGAGTTAGTACCGCTTATTATTATTTCATTGTCTTTTTATGATTTTACATCTTTTTTTCTTCTATTAATATAGGTAAAAAATTTCTCCCAAAGATAGATGTGGGGTTATTTTTGTTTCTGTGGTAGTTACGTTTTTACTATTTAGTTCCTGAGTATTTAGTGGTGTAATAATGATTTTCGCTGAGAAAATGTCAGATTTTTCTGAAGGAATTTATTCTTTTTTTTTTACCTTTTTAATTTGTTGCCGATTTCTTTTCTAAGTGGAATACTTACTTTCCCGATTTTAACTGTCCTATTTTTGTATCGAGAAACTTGAACGCATCCCAATGGGTATTACTCGATCTGATCAGTGTTGGGTCGACGGTTAGTATCCAACTTGCATTGTAGTAGTGTGGAACGGACATGTATACTACTTTCGATTTGTTTCGTCCGTCCTAATTAGTTAATTTTTCTTTAGATTTATCATATTTTCACCCAATTATACTTTAAATATGTACTAAAATTAATTTCTCAACTAATTTAACTCGATTAGGTTGTCTATTATCTTTATTTTCATTTATGAACTTATTTGTTTTTATTTTATCATGAAAATGTAAAAAATATCTTAAAACAATATATAAAAATTGATCTAGCTAAATATTATCCGACCTGACACACATAGGACGAATATGGGTATTGAGCCACCTATTGCCATCACTATTTCTGTGGCTTAATTAGCTACCACATTTATATATGTATGTTGTTGAATTTTTGACCATATATATAGTAGGACAGAACTGACAGTACTACAGACAATTGCAATTAGTTCGACTCGTCCAGTCTTATTCAGTTGCGTCAGTTGGTTGTCGATCGATGGTTTTTCCCATTGGATGATACGCTCTTCGTCCCCACAACACAACCATGCATAATCTACTCATTCATTTATGTCGTAAAATGGTCCCCTTTGGAACAACCGCATCAAATTTATGTTGGAAAATGTAAGTGGTTTTATATTGGTGCATTCACCATGATTGGTACCAATTTGAAAACAAGATTCATACTTTGATATCTTACTAGTGTGTCAAACGCAATATAGAATTATAATCAAATGAGCGATCATATTAGCTAATAGTTCTCCAATGTTGCAAATGAGCAAAACTGCTCATAAGTGTTTTTGTGTTTGGCTCGAGAAAAACTCGTTTGACACTCGACTCTTGAATATCGAGTTGGACTTGAGCTCAGTCTGGTACAGGTCGAGAGCCAGCTCGATTCGATTGCTTGTTGACATCAACTCTTGAGCTAACTCGTTTGAGCTACAAGCTGGCTCGATAGTATGACTAGATAGCGAGCCACCTTGACTAGCAACTTATCAACGAATCGATTAATAGTTTTATCAATTGATTTGTTGATAATTCATAATTTTGCTAAATTATCAATCTCAACAAATATGATGCTTACGACCTTGAGCACGATCAAATATGCTAAAAGAGAAACTATATATCATAGATTGCTTAGATACTAATTACTATTAAACAACATAATATAAGCAATTATAATTTATGAACTACTATCACTTGACATCTGAGATCGATTTGATCATCCGAGCTGATTGATGAGTCGAGGTAAAATAGAATTCGGCTCAACTGAAACTCAGACTCAACTGCTACACCCTTTGCTTCTGATCCACGTTGGAGTCTACTGTGTCTGTAGAAAGAAAGAATATTAAACTTTTGCTGTTTTTCCATCCTACCTATTAATGTCAGTTGTGCTCCACAGCCAATTAAGCAGACTTTAAAATTGCACCTACATACGTACAATCACATTCGTTACACCATTCACCACTACAACAACTAAATCTCCACTACAAATTCGCGATCAACAACGTGGCACGGGGGCGATGAATTAATGAATCCAATCTTTCTCGTCACACGCACAATAAAATCCCATTAAATACACCAGTAATTATTCGGTGTTGCAACTAATTAATCATGAGGATTTTTTTTTCCCCTTTCACTTGAGCTGCACCCAAACGGCTTCACTGGGGATCCGACGGTGGACGACGCTAAGCATGAAGTAACCCTCCGGCGCCACCGCACTGTTCGGCGGCGCCACGCACGACACGTCATACCTCCCTTCCCCGACTTTCACGGCGCCCTTCAACAACAACTTCACCAGCCTCTGGTTCATGGCCACGCCGTGAGTGGTAAACGCCGGCACGTACATGGTGACCATGAAGTTGGTCAGGAAGATCCTCTTTTCGTTCAGGTTGACTTTGACGGTGAGGTCCTGGCCGTACGACACCGTTTTGGGGCAGCCGCCGTTGACGATCTTGGGCTTCTTGTGGGCCCGGGAAGGGGAGAAGTAAGGAGGGGAGAACTTCTCGACGCGGAGCTCGGTGGGGAACGTGGTGTTGTGGTAGATGTAGCCGTTGTTGGTGTTGCTGCCGGCGACGAGGACGCGGTTGTCGGGGAGGACGACGGCGGTGGAGTGGTACATTCTGGGGATGGTGGTTGGGTTGAGTTCTTTGAAGAGGTGGTGTTTGTTGGGCGCCTTGTGGTTGAAGAGGAGTGGTTTGAGGTTGGGTTCCCGGGCGTTTCCCCAGCCGGAGGCGCCTCTTGTTGCCCCGTTTATCATCAGAACTTCTCCGGTCGGCAGGATTACCTGTTTGAAACGTGATTTATTATTAGTATATAATACTACGTGTGTTAGTTTATCCACAAGTAAAAGAGATAAGTTTCACTATATTTAATTTGAGAAAATACAGTTTTCAGCCATTGTGAAAGACAGAAGGCAGTGGCATCCGATCCCCAGGGTTTTACTCAAGGTGAGTCCGCGCTTTTAAAATAAAAATATCCAAAATAAATTTTAACAACTCATTCTTCATAATTGGCTAACAGAATTTCATTTGAGGGTGGAGAATTTGATACAAAATTATGAATCAGTAAACTCATAATACAAAATGAGAGACATTTTTATATGAAAAATCTAGAGTTATTAAAATGATATACGCAACTTTAATGTGCGTACAGAACTCGATCTCTACAATTTATTAAAATCGTGAGCATAAAACACTGGAATTTTGTATTATAAATTAATATTATGAATTGTCTACAAATATTATTACTTTATGGTATTTTAATCTAGAGCCGAGATGGATCTCAAAACCCAAGCTACTGCAAGGTGGCTCCACCACTAATAGAAGGTAAATATACCACTTCTCCCATGACACACTCATAGCTTTTAGTCGAACACAAATAATCTTACTTCAAGTCAGGGGGAAAAAAAACAGAAATAAGCGGTGAATGTTGAGAAATTACCATATCACCCATGACCCTAGCACTTGGCATGAGCTCCCGACGCCAACTCGGCCTCGGCTTGGTAATCTGCAACCTGCCACAATCCCGAAGCGCCTCGTAGAACACATTCTTCAAACCCAGTGTGTACGAGTCGATATGAGCGGTACCACCGCAAACAAGCACCTCAGCCTCCACGACAGCATCGGCCTCCGGCGACAACACCTCCAGCGGGAGCAGCACCGCCATCCCGCTGGCCGGGTAGTTACGGTGGCCGCCGGGGAGCACGGGGAACTCCTTCACCACCGTGTTGGTGTCCGGGTTGAGGAGCACCGACCTGTTGTTAGCATAATAGAGTATAGTTAAGACTAAAATGTAATTTTAGTTTATTTTAGGCATTACATTGTAATTTAGTAGTACAAAACTTATATAAAATATTGTATTTCGAATACGGTGAAAATTTACTTTGCGGAAATAAAAGAGTGGTACAAAATTCAGACATGTAAAATTCGGTTTATCATCATATCACGACATGATGATACGATGGTATATTTTTTATATATATAAATATGATGATATATATGACGACATTATATCATGGTATCACCAATCATATCATAATAAGATGATATGATCGGGATTTTGTATGGTTTTGTAGGCCGGAATTTTGTACAGAAACCCAAACCAGAATAAAAATTCTATCGTTTCACTCTCGTAACAAACCTGTTGTTGGCAAAGACGAAGACGTTGCTATCGGGGGAGAGGAAGACAAAAGGGTAGAGGTTGTTCTCTTCTGGATCCGTCGTCTGCTGGAGGAAGTCGAAGAAGAAGGGCTTGGCGTTGGACTTGCCTTCCGGAGGGATGTACTCGTAGGTTGGGGTGGATCGGCCGCCGATGACGATGATTCGGCCGTCGGCAAGCTGGGCCTGGGTTGAGTACCAGCGCGGGGAGGATAAAGCGCTAGGGAATTCGCGCCACGTGGAGGTGTTGTAGATTTTGAGGTACCGGACCGTGTTGGCGCCGCCTTGGAACCCGCCGGTGCTGATCAGGTTCCCGTGAAATGTTAGGCCTCCCGATGAGCACCACGTGTCCGTGTGAAGCTGCCAAAAGGGAAAGAGTGCTCATGTATTGTTTGATTATCAATAAATCAAAGTCAACTCATATAATTATGAATTATGTATATGTTTGAATATCATGTATATAATAATTCGGGTTATCGGGATTTCAATACAAGATTTCTTGGTTATCAAGAGCTTTAATATACCATGTTAAGAGCTAGTTGGCTCCAACAACTCGAGTTTTTGACAAATATTTTATTATGAATCATGTATCACTTATTAACACACTCAAACAAAAATCACAATATATGAGCATGAAATAAGCACATATCTAAATACCATATACTTAACAAATTGAATCACCAAAATTTGAACAAAAGACCCCATTATCGCACAAAACTCTTATATCGACTCATGTCAATAACTAGCTGGTATAATAACTGGAGTATTTAGGTCTCCATGCAAAATGACGTAAATGTTGTCAGAAATAGTATAGGGACCGACGTACCATGGTAGATGGGAATGGAAATAAAGAAATAAATATACCGCGCGCGGTAGATGGGGCAGCAAGTGACGTACATGATTAAATCACCGACACGACGTCGTACTAGCGTACCTGGAGGGGAGTCAGGTGAGCGGTGTCGATGTCCATCAAAACGGAGTGAGCAAAGCAATCCTCCTCGCCGGTGGTGGCGTTCAGAACCCGGCACCGTCCTTTGGGCAACTCGATCCTCGAAATCCGCCATATAGTGGCGTCGTACATCAAAACCTTGTTCACGTTGGGGATCACGATCGCGTGCATCGCCGACACGCCGGAGTTGTCCGTGAACAGCTCCCATTCCCCCTTCCACTCGTTGGTGGGGAGTCTGAAGTCGTCCGGGTCGCCGACCGGGTCAAGGGCTTTGTTGTTGTTTAGGTCATGGTGTGGGTTGGGATGCGGGTCGGGCGAGGGTTCGGGTTGGGAGAATACTGTGGTAAGGAGGAGGAGGAGGAGGAGGAGGAGAAGACGTGGCGGCGGCGAGGGTGGTGGTTTCATTGTTCTTGTTTGATTGTCGACGGCGGGCGGCAGTCGTGGTGATTTTGTTATGTGGTCGGAGAGTGAAGAGTGGGTTTTGCTTTATTTATAGGAGAGGGAGTGTAGTGTAGAACAGTACAGATTACCAAAGAAAGAGAGAGTGAGGTTTCGTTTTTTATGATGGTAAATAAATTATTTACTACTGGTAGTTTTCCTTTTTTTTTTTTTTTTTGTCCTACTTGGTGGCGTGTGACAGTCATTTACGTGTGAGGTGGTGGACAATAATAATTATGTATGCTTTCACCGGATATCTCACCGTCGACAGAATCCCTGAACGTAATAAGCATGAATGGCCATGGGCGGATTTGGAACAGGTATTTCCAAATCATTCTCGTTTTTATTTTCAAATATTCAAATTCATATCCATTTTATATTAGTGCAGAAAAATTTCTGCAACTTCATTCACATACTCGAGATTTTCGGGTATCCATGAGTATTATCCACCCAATACATTCAATATTATTATATTTAAAATTTTACAAGTAAAATTTTAATTATAACATCACAAAGTCAACCAATATATGATCATTCTTAATATGGCTTAATATCTGATACATCTACTACGTTATAATTAACTAATATAATCTTGTTAAAATGAGGAAAAAGTGTAGGTTTTAATTTGGGTGACCGCTTAGTTACATTTATACTATTTTCTTGAGTTACTCTCACTGTCATATATTGATCAGGTTAGAAAATGATCCATTATTTTTTATATGTGAAGAAATATTCTTTGATGGGATGTATATGGGGCGGGGAAGCTGAAGTCATACCTACCCATGCGAACCCATAATTTATTTATTATTTTATTATTATTGGCCCACACACCATTTAAAAGTCTTGGGTCCATCACTGCCCAATCCATCAAACGTTTTGCAATTTTAGCCACACACAGTCAATGCGGAAATTTCCCACGTTGATTGGGTCTAGAGTGATGTGATACCTGAAGTCTTAGGTTTGATTGTCATCCCTAGTATTATGGCATACTTAGAAGCGATTTTTCCACCGTTAGAAATTTTCTAATCATATAGAGTAAATTTTAGAAATATAATTCATCTTTACCCAAAAATATTATTTAGTTTTTTTTAGTTTTCATTAATAGAGAGGCAAGATGATCAAGCCTCGCGTGATCTGAGTTGCTCAGCAGCAACCAGAATGTGCACTTCTTCTCCAGAAACGAAGAACAAAATGAAGAATACGGAGCAAAGCAAAACGGGGACGTTTGGCTTTAAGTATAGCCAGAAACGGTGGCGTTCTTCACCAACGATTTTGAGTTTCGTTTTAACTGTAGATAATACAAGTGTATAGCTTTCATTGGTAGGTTTATTTGTTAGTTTCATTTAGCCGTTAATCCATAGTGATTAGTATTCAAACCTCTGTAAATATATGATTTTACATCAATGGAAACAGCTCAACGAGCAAATTCCCCAAATCTGAATTTCTTCTTATGGTATCAGAGCCTGGTTGCTCTTAACCACTCTAGGGTTTCGTCCCTCTCTCACAAATTTCTGAAAACAAACTAAAAGAATCATGTCTGGAGAAACAGAATCAACAGTTGGGAAATCTACCCAGAGTTCGGCTAATTCATCCTACGAAGACCCTTACCTCAATCCCTACTACCTTCCGCCTCAAGATGGTGCGTTGTCCACCATAATTTCCGTGAAGCTTGTAGATGGGAACTACCACACATGGAGCAGGTGATGCTTGTTGCCTTAGCTACCAAGAACAAGGTCGCCTTCATTGATGGAACCATACCAGTACCCAAGGTAACAGAACCCTCTTACCAGTCATGGCTGCGTTGTAATGGTACTATTCGCTGCTGGATTTATAATTCCTTAGCTGAAGGCATAGCGAATAGTGTCATGGGTTTGGAAAGTGCTCAGGTTGTTTGGGAAAATCTAAAGAACAGATTTAGCCAGGAGGACAATATTAGGGTTTATGATTTGAAGGGTCAGTTAGCTAAATGTGTTCAAGGAGAACAATTTGTAAGTCAGTACTTCACCAACATTACTGTGTTGTGGGAGGAGTTGAAGAGGTATCGTCCAATACCTTGTTGTCCTTGCAATACCCCATATGAAACGGTGAAGAGGTATCAGGATAATGATTTTGTCATTAAATTCATGCAAGGATTGAATGAAATGTACCAATCTGCCAAGACCCAAGTGCTCATGAACTCAACATTACCATTAATTGATGTTGTTTTCAAGCAAATCTTGCAACTGAAAAGGCAAATGAAGAGTGCTCCTAAGTCTAGTGGAGTTGATTCAGTTGCATTGGCAGTTGGTTCATCATAGAATACCAGACACAACGACAGAGATTACAAGGATGGCAAGAAGTTCTATAGGTATTGTAAAAAGGATAACCACATTATCAGTAAGTGCTACAGGCTGAAAAACAAGAAAACAAGGGAATCTGGTGGATCAAGCTTTGCTGGCTCTGTTAAAGCAGGATCTGAATATGACTCTGGTATTCTTGGAGCAGCATCTGTGCAACATGATGCACCAAGCAGAAACAACTCAACTGGCATGGCTAGTCTTCAACTAAGTAATGATCAGATGAAAAAATTGAGGATCCTGCTGCTTGGATCACCACAATCATCTCCTTCTCCACCAACATCACCATCTATCAAGCATGTTGCAAATGCAGCCGTCACTACTCATCACCAATCTGGTCAGCATCAATGCAGCAGTTCTACTTCTTCCTCGCTTCCATCACCCAATTCCACTTCATCACCAACCTTTTCCTTCTTTCCTACACCTTCATCTTTTCCAAATTCCCAACCATCTTATTCTTCTTTTTCTTCAGATGTTCCAGTTCATGTGAATCCTCAGTTTGAGGGGGGCACACAACCTCCATCTCCCTCTGCTAAATCACCAATCCCCTTTCTTATTCCCTCAAGTCCATCTTCCTCCTCCTCAAATTCCCCCTCACCTCAAACTCATCCTGATGATTCACATATCACACCTACCTCTTCTTCTTCTACTTCACCTACACCTTCACCACTCTCCTATTCCATTAAACAGTCCTGCTCATTCTCCATCTCATGTTCAACTGAGAAAATTGACCAGGACTGTCAAACCACCCAATTGGCATGCAAACTATTATGTTTCTCACCCCATTCATAGAGCCCTTTCATACACTCATCTACTACCAAAGCACCAACACTTTATAAACAACTTGACTTCACACAGAGAACCATCTTCTTTCCAAGAAGCAATGCAGACCCTCACTGGAATAAAGCAGTTCAAGAAGAGTTGAAAGCCCTAATTGATAATGGGACATGGGAAATCAAAGATTTACTAGTTGGCAAGAGGGCAATAGGCTGCAAATGGGTTTTCAGAGTGAAGCTTCATTCTGATAGATCAGTTGAAATATATAAGGCAAGGCTGGTTGCCAAGGGGTATACCTAGGTTTATGACATAGACTACTGTGACACTTTTTCACCAGTAGCTAAACTAAGTTCAGTTAAAACCTTACTTGCAGTTTCAGCAGTGCAGAATTGGCACTTACATCAAATGGATGTAAGTAATGCCTTCTTGAATGGTGACTTAACAGAAGAGGTATATATGAAAGTACCTGATGGTTTGGATTTGGCAGTTGATTACAAAGGCAATGTCTGTCACTTGAAGAAATCCCTTTATGGGTTGAAACAGGAAAGTAGACAGTGTGGTATACTAAGCTCACTGAAAGCTTGTTGAAGCATGTATTTCAGCAAACTTCCTCAGATTACTCTATCTTCACAACTCAGATTCTTGGTGCACTTGTTGTGCTTATTGTTTATGTTGATGACATTCTGATTGGAAGTGTGAGCTTGGAATCCATAACAGAAACCAAAAGAATCTTACAAGGAGAATTCAAGATGAAAGATTTGGGGAATTGAAGTACTTCCTTGGTCTGGAAGTAACAAGAGGAGTAAGAGGCAATACTATTTCACAGAGGAAATATTGCCTAGAACTCCTAGCAGAATTAGGATTTGAGAATTGTAAGCCTGCATCTACTCCAATTTATGTTAAGGAAGTGTTGTCTGCTACAGGGGCACTCCTTTGCTTGATGTTGCAAGTTACAAGCATTATGTAGGCCAACTGCAATACTTAACAACTACAAGGCCGGATATTGCATTTGATGTCCAGCAGTTGTGTATATATCAGGACAATCCTACAAGTTTGCATTTGAGAGCTTTGCATAGAGTTCTTAGGTATCTCAAAGGATCACCTGGACAAGGTCTTCTTTACCCTAAGGATACTAAGCTAGAGTTGAAGGGGTTCAGTGATTCAGATTAGGCTACCTGTCCAGATACTAGAAAATCTATAACTGGATACTGTACTTTTCTTGGTTCTGGAATTGTTACATGAAAAAGCAAAAAGCAGACGACAGTATCCAGATCCTCCTCTAAAACAGAATACAGGGTCTTGGCTAGTTTGAGCTGTGAAGTTGAATGGTTAACCAGATTACTCAAAGATTTTGGAGTAGAACATCCTCAAACAATCAAGGTGTTTTGTGACAATCAGACAGCAATTCATATTGCTGAAAATCCAGTATTCCACAAGAGAACGAAGCATATTGATGTGGATTGTCATGTGATAAGAGAGAGGGTACAATCTGGTTGATTTCTTTACATCATGTGCCAACTAATTCTCAACCTGCAGACATCTTCACCAAGAGCTTATCTGTGGATTGCTTTGCATCCTTATTGTCCAAGCTGGGAGTATATGATATATACTCACCAGCTTGTGGGAGGGTAATAGAGAGGCAAGATGATCAACCCTCGGGTGATCAGAGTTGCTCATCAGCAACCAGAATGTGCAGCTCTGCTCCAGAAACGAAGAACAAAATGAAGAACAAGACGGGGACGTTTGGCTTTAAGTATAGCCAGAAACGGTGGCGTTCTTCATCAACGATTTTGTGTTCCGTTTTAACTGTAGATAAAACACGTGTATAGCTTTCATTGGTAGGTTTATTTGTTA